CAACTCTTCAAATCCCCCCCCCCCCCCCAATCTGTTTTGTGATGTTCTCGGAACTGCTTGCAGTGATGGTATGTAGGGTTACTTGACTCCATGTTCAGGGGAGACTTGCTTGCCTATATTCAAGCCCCCAATGGAGGGTCTGGAGGACATCTTGACCAACCAAGTCATGTGAGATCACCGACCTAGATCACAGGTTTCTTCTAATGGAAAGAATGCATTCTACTCATCGAATGATACTTTGAAGATACAAGAAAAACAACATCTAATAGTCTTCTTAAAGATCAAAATACTCCGGAGAAGATACTATTTCTTATGTTTATATTTTATTTTTTCTGACATTATATGTACACGACAAATTCTTTAGATCAATATACTGAACAGTTACTTTATACAGTAATAAAATAGTTCAATTACACACTCAAGAAAAAAGGTTTAGTTACACAAAACTTTGTAGATAAATTCTTATTATTATTTCCATATCAAATATCAAAACATATATTTTTACCTTATATCCAACTTTAAAAATTTTAAAAATTTAAAATTGAATAGTATATTCCAGATAATATTAAAATTATCTCATTCATCAATCATATATAAAAATAAAAATACTATTTAAATAATTTGTATGTAATTACTCATTTGTTAATAAATCCAGAGCATAGTTATTTATGGTATGTTTGAATTGGAGATTTGTAAATTTAGAAAAGCTATTTACCAAAAACAATATGAACACTGATTATTTTCATGAAAATTTATAGACATAAACCAAATTAAATTCTAAAAACAGACTATAATCTCACCGCAGAAAAAGGTTGTGAGAACATATAAGAGAAAGCTATATATCTACAAACTCACTACTTATTACATGTATATATTTTACTCCGGCCACAGTCTCTTTCACTTGGAAAGTCTCCCTGAAGAAATTCAAGTTTACATTACCTCACGGTGGCCCTTTTCTCACGCACTACGGTATCGGTACGAAACATTTTAGAAGTAGCACTGATTCTGGCCATAGCTGCAACAGACTATCAAATCTACAACATCAACTTCCACCGATTGACTGTCACTATAGTGTATGTTTTATGGTTACATGATTAAAACATATAGTATGTATGTTGTGTAGGGCCAAAACCAGTGATGTGTATAGTTCATCATTTATGTGAATATTACATCAGTTAATATTTAGTTATTATAATTACTAGGTCGTTTTCCACGCTACGTGCGGATAGTCCCTATTATATAACCCGCCTGATTTGTTGTATTCGTAGAATTTTCTGTGTTTATAAACTATTTAGTGTGAAGGATATAGTATAAAAAAAAAAAAAAGAAATTCTCTAATTTTTGTTATGTGAATTTTGTATATAGGGTTTTTCGTAGCTTTTGTAATATATTTTTCTGGTTAGCCCAAAATATTAAAATTGAATTCAGAATACATAAACAGTTCTCAAGATTTCGGGAAGTTATTCTTAATTATGTTTTCTTGGTTATAATCTGATGAGTTGTAGATTGGAACTTTAGCTCTAACTCGTGTGTTGAACTTTAATTTTGTTTTTTATTTGAAGTCGATATTTTCATTGTTGTGTCAAAGTAAAACTATGGCTGATGATAAAGCAAATAATAATTTTCATGCAAATAAGAATTATTAAGTTATGTATCAGTCCATTAGAATACTCTGAAGAGAGACTATTCGTAGACTACACCTCTTATTAGAGATTAATCTGGGTTTATGTTTGGAATACCCCCAGATTTAGAAAAAAAAAGGCTGGCTTCCTAGAAAGCAACGAAAATATTTTAACGTCAGAACCATTCCTTTGAAATTAGATCATTGAGTGACTATCAAAATTGCTTATACATCAAAGTGGACTATGTAAATTTCTACAGATGCAAAAGAATTTCCAGAACGATTTTATAAACTCTTGTAGCTATTCGTAGATGTGAGCTATCACCATATTTCTACAGGTATTTTATTAGATATACACACTTAGCAAATTATATATGTTTTGAATAATAGTTTCATAATCCAAATGAAAACAAAGTAAATACTTTTTTGTTCTTACTTTCTATAATATTTTAGCTAATTACTATATTTTAACTTGAAAATTTTATTAAAGCTTGAATATCTTTCAATTTTTAGAATGATACAAACCAAGATAATTAAAATATGTAAATTGCACAGAATTACTAAATATGGTAATTATGATTAGACAAAATATAATTTTATGTCTTCCAATGTTAGTTGGACTTCTAAATCTATTGTAATACATGCCTAGAAATTTCTGTATATTTAAGAATGTTAGTTTAAAGAAAGATATCTCTCCTTGAAGAAGCTCGCAGATCCTAGTCAACGGTAACCTTCTTGCTCATGTTTCATCAGACTGAAATCAGGATCAAACTCAAACAAAGTAGCAACCATGTTAAGATTAAGCTTCGAAGTTTACTTGAGTTTTTCAAAGAGTTTGATGTCTTTCTCGAAATTTTTTATGGCTTCTTTTCCTATGGATACTGCTCAAACCCAAAGCTTCTTCAACAAACACAGCATATAACTCTCGTCTCCCAATAGAGAGTACAGCTGACATTGGACTTACTCATAAAGCAGATTACCAACCATCCTAGGCACACTTCACCTGGTGCCTCTTGCCACGTTTTCTTTAATTGCAGAGTATGCTTCATTTTGTGTCACCCAACGCCCTTTTTCATTATCAGTGTAATTCTACATGAAGAAATTTAATACAATTCTAGCCAAAATAAAATAAAAAACTATAATTGTAACGTATCTATCGAGTAACTGTAATTGAAGCCATAACCTAAATCATTGGCCTAATTGTAATAATAGTCGGAAGCACAGTAAAGCATCCAATCTGTCACAACAATATCAACACTACATCAAATCATCTATAACTATGAATGAAAAGGCTAAGAATATTTTGAAACAAAAAGGTGAAAGAACCTGAGACTCTCTTTCTAAGCTCAAATATGTCTTTGTATGTGCATAGACTCTTCACAAACTCCTGGTGTGGCTTGCCATATTTTCTCTGCAACGCATTTGTTATATGAGCTGCCTTCATCAGAAAATTTGTACGATACCAAGATAAGATATATAATATGCATCTCTTAGAATGAAAATAATATGTATTGGCTAGACGATTGTAAACCATTTTAAGACATAAACCTAAATTCATGATTATCACCACTGGAAAACTTTAAGAAACATTTAATTTTCCAGTTGGCTCGCAAGTACATAGATAAGTGGTGGATGTTTTTTCAAGGATTAAAATCCATTTGTCTCTGATTTTACTCGGCCCAAATCGCTTAAATGTATGTAAACTGGCCTTGCTGAGACATAAGAAGTCCATCAATCACACCAGACCTCTCATTTGATCACGACACATAGTATAAATATTTCTTTTCCTCCGTACTACTAAGATGCACAATTATATAAATGGTGAGAGATCAAATCATAATCACAAAGCGGCACTTTAGAAAGAAATTTTTTTGATTAGTAATACGAAAATTTCTTGATTAGCAATAATGGTGAGAGATTTTTTTTTTTTATAAAAGTTGATTACAACCAAGATATTTGTCTGCACAGAAATTATATCTAAACTTCAAGACTGGACTGGGCGACCATTTTCAAGATTCTCATCGCACCTAGTCAAAAACTAAAGTTGATTACGTCCAGCTAGATCAGCCATTTTCAAGATTCTCATCGCACCTGGGAGGGACTGCGACAATAAATAACGTTAGCCCAAGTAACAGAAAAGAAGGGGAAGACGTTATTGGATGGAGGGATATACTGTTCTCTTCTCACCTTCCCTGTAGCTATCACGACTTTAAGTCCTCTCAGTGTGGCTTCTTTTAAAGCTTTCACATTAGCTTCTGAAATCTGACTTTTGCTGTTAAGCAGTGTGCCTAGCATTCACATTATGATCTAATAAGATAGAGAAGAAAACCAAAAATCAAGCTGAATAGGTAACCCCTTACCATCCATATCACAGAAAATATAGGCGAACTTGGGTCTGTAGAATCTTAGGCAGTCCCTTTTCTTCCTTTCTTTTAACCAAAAAGCAAGCTGAATAGGAAAATTTACCATCTGCTTTCTCCAGCTGAGGTTTAGCTGTTTTCTTAATGTCATATGCACTCTGAATGAGTCCTTTCCCTTTCCACTCAAGGCTCTTTAGCAGCAACTCCTCTTCCTCCTCCATTTCTTCTCAGCCTCGTCGCTGATCTCATGATCAAACCCCAGTAGGTGTAACATCCCTTGTATCTTTGAAAAAAAAATATAAGGTATCAGCAAAAGGAGGCTGCAACACAAATCACATCAAGAATATTAAAAGAAAGATCCTTCCCTTCTTATATTTTCTAAAGATTATAGAAACACATCACTGACTTACATGGTTTAGTTTAATGGAATAACTATAGTTCTACAAAATTTATCCAAACAAAAGTCTTAGTAATTCTTGTTTACACATACCACAAGAATGCGGATCTCATCTGACCTCTCTCTGCAGCCTGCCTTGCAGCTGTCTCAACAGAAATGACGATATCATCCATCATAAGCTACACCACCAACAATGCAGATAACTTTAGCCTAATATTTGAAACCATAAAATAAAAATAATTAACTCTCTCACTTACAACATGAAGCTTAAGTTCAGGGACATGCTGTGACATGGAAAGCACATGAGTATGATGATCTTTCCCCCTCCACTCTTTATTGAGTTTATAGATAAACTCATCGTTGCAAAGCATCACAGATAACTCAACGGTATCAACCACCAACGTCTTCTATATCAGTCTCTCTTGTTTTATACTTGGAATCTTCAGGTCTGTTCATTTTTGAGTAAGATTCATTTATTTCCAGTTTTCTGTTTTAATTTACCTCATTCGACGAATGCCCAAATGATGGAGTTTCAGTTTTACACTGTTGCCTTTGGAGGTTCCGGGTGGGACGATTTCTAACATGTCTGACTGAGCTTGAACGACACTGGCACGCTCTCCCGTTGCTTTTGACCAATACGGACGGATAACAGATGAGACCCCCTCGGTGGTGTCCATAAATATCACTTTCATCGGATACACAAAGAGAACCGCACTTCAGTACATAGGCTTATACAAATGCAAGAAAGCCAAATCAAAATTTCTTACACCAATTACCTGAATGTCAGCTTCAGCTATAAGTCGATCAACCGATGATATGATCTCGGCCTGTTAGAGATTGTGTAAGAACCCGACAAGGAATCAAGCTAGAAGAGAACGGATTTCACGAACCTACCTTTGGATCGGATCTAGAACCAAGGTCGAAAACCATGAACTGCGCCGCTTTCTTCGCACCCCATAAAGCGATTTCCCATTGGTGCCGGGAAAGGCAGTAGCAGAGCCACCGCTGGAACCACCGGGAGAGGATGACAACGTGAATGTTGAGGAAGAGAGACAAATAAGGGTTGCGTAAGGTGAAGTTTTCCGTTGAAACGGATTTAGAGAGAATGGGTAATGGAAGAGGTTGCATCAGATATGCTTTCCAAGCTGTTCTGTATGCAGTTTGGAGGGAGCGCAACAAGTTCAAACATGGTGATAAGCTTTTGCCTTTGCCTATGTTGATAAAACTGATTGATAAGGGGATTAGGAACAGAATCAGTTTGTTGAGAGCGAGGGGAGTGAAGGGTATGGAGAAGCTGATGCAGTTTTGGTTCCAAACTAGATTGTAAATAGCTTTTTCTTTGATTGTATTGAGTTTATTCGGTTTTGCTCTTTGAGTATCAAGGATGCACTAGTTATATACAGACTTTTTTGATGAATAAATTTAACATTCATTCAAAAAAAAAAAAAAAAAGTAAGAGAACGAAATTAGGCTTTCAGTGGAATCGTTGAATCACGTCATCTCAGACATCGGAATTGGCTTTTGACCAAAGAGGAACAGAAAAAAAATGTAAGAAATCGATCTCGACAGGGACGGCCAATTAGGTTAACCATGGGATCTCAGATTTTGGGCTGAATGGGCCAAAACCAAATCAGTCAGCAAAATTATTAAAAATTAAAGCCCAAAACGATTATTTTAATGACGTGGCACACTCAGTTGAGATTTTTTCCCTTTTGATATAGTACTGATTAATCTAATATTATAATAGTACACTTTCTATGTTCCACAACGAGCTACGTCAGTAGTTTTGTGGATTCCGTAGGTATTTTTAAAAAACTTATAATCTTGGTAAGATGATTATAAACAATGAAATACACTTTAGTCAAGTGGTATAAGGTATCTAATTAAGCATGCAAGATTATGGGTTCAAACCACGCAGCCATCGTTTTTTTTTTGTTTTTTTTATTTGGATTATTATCATATAGGCTTTTTGTTTGTAAGGTTTTTATGTTTTTTTTATGGCTTATTGTTTTAAAGATCAAAATAGTTGGATAAACCCTAAAGCTTTACGAGTTCAAACCAAAAATAGTTAAAAATGGATGCAAAAACGAAAAATAAAAAAACAAAAAAGCAGGTCTCACGCGGTTGCCTACGCGGATGGCTTAAAGAGCCTTAAAACTATCCTATTATAATATAGTTCAACCCAAAAATAATAAAAAATAAATCCAAAAACGAACCGACCAAAAAAAAAAGTGAATCCCACACGGCTACCTACATGGATGGCTTAATGAGGCTTGAATAATATAGATTAAGAGCTCAAAAAGTGAAATCATTGCACATATTTCCTAATATATATTTTCAAAAAAATTGTATGTGAGATAAAATAAAAAAACAACAAAAATTAATTATTTTGGTTATTTATTTAATGAATGTGTAATTTCTCTTACATTTTAATAACTACTATAATTTCATTGAAAATATTCCTCACCACCGATTTCAGACTCCGGCAAATGGATTCCCACAATCGATGACGCCGTAAATAAAAATTGCACATCATTTATGAACAAAACTCAAACTTACAAAAAAACATATATAAAAACATATCTAATGAAACTTAAACAACGAATGTTAACTTAATTAAGGTTATTTTCAAATTGATAAATCGTTTAATACAAATATAAATACTATAAATATAGAATTATATCAATTTTTGACCTACGATATAAAAACTATTTACAGCAAAAAAAAAACCCCTACTTTTACACACTAAAAACTATATTATAGTCTAACTATTCCTATAAACCTTACTTCACATATAATAACATTAACTCATTCCTAATATATTTTCAAAAAATTTGTATGTGAAATAAAATAAAATAAACAACAAAATTTAAGTATTTTTCGTTATTTATTAAGTGAATATGTAATTTCTCTTACATTTTAATAACTACTATAATTTCATTGAAAACATTCCTCACCACCGACTCCAGACTTCGGCAAATGGATTCCCACAGTCGATGACGCCGAAGATAAAAATCTATATTATAATAGTACACTTTCTAGGCTCCACAACGCGCCACGTCAGCAGTTTGTGAGTCCCGTAGGTATTTTTTAAAAACTTATAGTCTTGGTAAGATGATTACAAACAATGAAATACACTTTAGCCAAGTGGTATAAGGTGTCTAATTAAGCATGCAAGATCGTGGGTTCAAACAACGCAGCCATCATTTATTTTTGATTTTTTGATTTGGGTTATTATCATATGGGCTTTTTGTTTGTAAGGTTTTTATGTTATTTTCTTTATGGCTTATTGTTTTTAAGATCAAAATAGTTGGATAAACCCTAAAGATTAACGAGTTCAAACAAAAAATAGTTAAAAATAGATGCAAAAACGAACAATAAAAAAACAAAAACAAAAACAAGTCTCACGCGGTTGCCTACGCGGATGGCTTAAAGAGCCTTAAAACTATCCTATTATAATATAGTTCAACCCAAAATAATAAAAAATGAATCCAAAAACGAACCGACCAAAAAAAATAGTGAATCCCACGCGGCTACCTACGTGGATGGCTTAATGAGGCTTGAATAATATAGATTAAGAACTCAAAAAGTGAAATCATTGCACATATTTCCTAATATATATTTTCAAAAAATTTGTATGTGAGATAAAATAAAAAAACAACAAAATTCATTATTTTGGTTATTTATTTAATGAATATGTAATTTCTCTTACATTTTAATAACTACTATAATTTCATTGAAAGCATTCCTCG